TTGCTTTGAATGAGGAAATCACACGAGGCTCACAACTTTTGTTACCCACTCTACAGGCACTACAGTGACTTGCACCAAGACCTGATGCGCACACCAAGCTCGAGTCACTATGTCCTTAAACACTATGTCCTTAACCCTCATCCCTAATTCCCAAACTAAACCCTAGGCTTGACTACAAAGAGTTGAGAGGGTTCCCTAAACCCTGAACTCTTTCTATCAAGGGTTGCGAGTTGAGGGCGTAGGGCTAAGGCCGAGTCTTAAGACGTCCACACTGGGGTTCATTGCACCGCAGCCGCGCTGGTGAAACCTTTTATGCCCCCCAAAACCATAAGGTACGGAGGCCCTCAGTATGCGAACTCCCCAAAGAGCAGCTTCGGAAGACTCGCATGTTGCCCTGAATGCCAAAAACAGGACATGCGGCACTAACATATCTTGGCCTCTCTCAGAACATAGGTTTAGGGTAAGGGTTTAGGGCCCTAACAGGCACTGAATACAGGACTAGTCTCCCAAAATGGTACCCTAACTTTGGAATCAAGCCATATGCAAAAAACCTCCTCTACAGCTCAGGTAAGCCAGGGGTGTTAAGATGGAAGCCAGTGCACGCCACACAAAACAAAATGAAACTTTGCAAACCCTGGAAACATGGAACCCGACACCCCTAAATTAGCGGGTAGATCAAGGAATATGCTTTGAGTCGTAAGGAAGTAAGGAGTTGAAGGTAAGGGGCCATCTAGCGTGATATAAGTTCTATAGGTTATATAGTGTATAGGGCTTAGGGCCTGTGATTGCTAGAGGTTGTCTTACTTGTGTTAAGAAACTCCCATGCACAACCAGAGGCCTGAAGCCTCATCAAAAGTTCATCAGAACCAGGGGCTTCTGTTGCCCACCAGAAAACAAGGTCCCAGACTTTTATTTATCAGATGCGGAGCAATCCATGTTTCCGGAGTCGGAGTTTTCGGCGCGGCATGGAGGCAGCACCTGCACAAATGTGCATACGCCGCATGTAAATGTATACATATCTCTTTGTGTGTACACACATACACACATACATATACGTAGACACATATACGTAGACACATTATATCCTGGTGTAGCGTGAGCAGATGTAAGACACGCCTATGTACATAGCAAATATGTAAACATGCGTGGGTACACACAGCTTTAGGAGGCGCACATGAAGATGTTGATGCACCCTACACCTAAACCCTACACCCTAAACCCTAAGTATAACTTCCGAGTGCGCGGCAGGTGGGCCCAGGGTTGGCGGAAGCACTCACAAAGAGGATTTACTACAGGGGCCTGGAGAATTACCAACATCCTTTTGAGGTCTATCTTGTAGCATCCCAAAATGAAGGGACCCCAAAATAGACCCAAAAATGCTATAATCCTGATTATGGAGACCCCCTCAAAAAGGTACCCCTAATTTTGGGGAACCCCATTTGAGGTACCATATATTACAATTACGCAAGGAATCTATGACCTTAATTCCTTTACCCCCGACATTAGATTGAAAGTCCGGATGCCAAGGCTGTGGGTTCGATATGGGTTCAGGGCTTAGGGTGGTTTAGGGTTCAGTCAATATTTCCCGGATAACTACTAGACATGGGTTCCTTATGAGGGACTATACTCAACTACAAGAGGTACCCCTATGTCCACTGTTAAAGGTCCCTCCCTGTATAAGCCTAACATCTACTGTAGCCCAGGTCCCCATAGGTTTTAAGATGCCGAGGGTCCGAACAGGCTCCGAGTCAGCTTGGGGGTATTGATTCTTGAGCCATGTCTTACAGGTAGTTAATAAGAAATGGAGGAAACGATCCCTCTAGTGGTCCCCCTAGAGGTGGTATGAAATCTAAATATCATAGACATTTTCATGTTCATGTCCATTCTCACGGCAAAACTTTGCGGAGTTCCTAGCTCAGAGATGGGAGTGTCTACAAGTACTAGAAGAATTCCCTTTTCCCAAGGCCTGGCCAAAGGTGAGGGGGTTTTTTATATTGGGAGAATGGACAATTTTCGGAAACTACTACAATGGGCTAGATAAGGTATATATTAGGGTTAAACAGCCGTGAGATTTCAATGCTGGCCTCCAGGCCACAAGAAGATCAGTAGTTTCAGTAATTCTGCTTCTTGTTTTTGAAGCCCCAAGCAGCAGATTTTGAAAACGCTGTTCGGAGTTGAGCAATTAACTCAGGACTTTGGCTGTTTGGGGTGAGGGTTTAGGGCATGGGGTTAAGGGTGAATGGCTTATTACAGTTTAGGGTTAGGAGATCTGGGTTTGGGGATCAGTTTGGGACTTAAGAAGGTCTGGAGGGGATCCGCCGAATCATGTTGCAAATTGAGGGGCTGCGTAAATTGAAATCCGACGATAAAACTCACGCCCCCCCCAATTGTGAATTTTCTTGATATGACACCAGAACACAATGGGGAGAGTTGTCATTGTTAGCGGGTGGGGCTGGTTAAAAAATGGGGGAGGTGACTATTCTGGGGGCACATTTCCCTTTGCCCTCGGCCATGCTTAACTCAGTTCATGGGACCCTAGAGCTGAAAAGTCTTAGGAGCATCTACCACCAAAAATCTTATGGCAGCTGATTGAGATGACTGTCCTTTGCTGTCGTAAGGCCCAACTAGACCAACTCCTGAGACCTAGGGCCTCCCGCATGCGGTACCCGAAGTTCGGATGCTCGAAGGAGCCGGATCTAGCGTGGGTCCAGTTGTAGTTGCCCTGCTCAGCAGTTTAGGGTTTAGGGTTTAAGGTTTTGGGTTTAGGGGAGAGGGTTTAGGGTTTAGGGTTTATGGTCCCCCTGAAGTAGATAGAACATATTAGGGTTATATGGGGATAATGGAAAAGAAAATGGAAACTACTATTTAGGGTTTAGGGTATGGTCCCCCTTAAGCAGATAGAATATTGGCATAAAATTGGGGTAACATTGGGATAATGGAAAAGAAAATGGAAACTACTATTTGGGGTTTAGGGTTTAGGGTATGGTCCCCCTTAAGTAAATAAAATATTGGGGTAACATTAGGATAATGGAAAAGAAAATGGAAACTACTTGGTTCTGGGGTGCGGAGGAATGCGAGATGCTGTATGAGGCACAATGGGGCCATGGGCTTGGAATATGAGGTTCCTTACGATTGGGGGGCCACTTTTTTGCCAGGAAGCAATGATTAGAGACTATTGGGGACCATATTGGGCCCGCTAGTTATGGAAGCCTCCTAACAACCTGAATAGCGGAAGTTGCGTAAACTCATCTTCCGCTTGCTTTTTTGAATCCTTGCGGCTTTGGTACACTAAGACCCTTCATGGAATTTTGGTGCACTAAGACCCAACAAACGTCTTCGAATATTTCCGAAGAAGGAAAGTCTTCACTAATGCGTCTTGCGGCTGAGCATCCAAGGCTTTCGGGTAGCAGAATCTGTCCATGCTGTCAACAACCCCGAACTACTCTTGATACTACAAATCTGCATGACTTCTGCATACAGAAAACCAGAAGTCGCAAGGTATGAAGTACTTAGCTGATACCAACGGTAACACTATCTAATCACAAAACTGTCACTGGGTCCTCATATATAGAAGACTATACTTCGTAAAGGTATCAGGCACTCAGGGGCATGAAAGATGTTGATGTCAACGGCAGCACTTTGGCACCTTTCTACACAACCAGAAATTGTCAGAGAGTCATTTTGGAGGTTGGGTAGCTGCGTTAACAACTAAACCCCAAACCCAATCCCATGGTTAATGTCTCCTGGATGGTATTGATCTCGCCATTGTGACCCAAGTAACCTTGGCGACAGTGAAGGTTCTCAAACCTACTGTAGGGCCCTAAATGAGCTGTAGTCTAAACTCTTAGTATCCCCTAATAACCCCTATAATACTCCCCTATACAATCCCCTATATTCCTGTATAGCCCCCCCTTGAGGAATTTAGGCTATATCTCAAATAATTCGAATAGGGTACTGGAGTATATTATACTTGTACTTAGAATGGTAAAAAGTGGAACTTTGACCGGGGGGGGTCATCTCCATAAACTCAACCCAAAATTGATCAAATTGGATCATGGCTGTTGGAACAATCACAAGTCATCACTCACTGACAGCTGGAGGGCGGAAAGGCTGCGCCAACGGCCACCGTGGCATAGTGTTGGTGCTGAACCGCCGGTGCCTGAAGTCTGCATCCGCAAGTACACTCAAGCGGTGGCAAACACCCCCAAAGCTTTTGGGAATAACGCGAGGCTGCAAGCTCATTGCTTCACGTATGTGAGACTGATAGCCGCCATGAGTTTCCAGCCTGCTGACAGCCTTGCGCAAACACGACCTTCGCAGCCAAGGCACCACAGGGCATACTGAACTTTGTAGCGTGGATCTCGCAGATCCTACAGGCTCATGAGTCCAACTCTCCACCAAAAGCATTATTTGGGGGTTTCCCAAAATTAGGTACCCTACTGGGGTCCCCATAATAAGGATTAAAGAAAATTTGGGGGTCTATATTGGGGTTCCTTTATTTTGGGAAACTACCATTTTTACGATCCGAACCTTCAAAAGCAAATCCCACTGCATTGGCTCATTCCACGGTCCTTGTAGTAGCTGATGATTGCTGACGACTTCAGCATCCCCTGCGGCCCCCCAGGCGCTTGCACTAACATTGTTTCAGTCTACCTCGGGCTGGACAACACCAAAAATGACACGAAAACGGTTCAACCTTAAAACATTACGAATTCAAACGCTTCTTCTCCCTCCGTCTAGGCCCTAGGCCATTGGGGAGGGGAAGGGTCATGTTCAAACTTCTAAGTTTCACAGAAGCTTTTGTGTCGCAGATGCGCACCATTGAACGGTCTCAACACACAGAGCTGAAGCTTGATTGCTGGAAGTTGCCAGAAACCTCGCCCCTCCAGGAATGTTCACAGGCAGGAAAAGTAAAGGTTTTAGGAAAGTCGCTGCATCCCAAAATGAGGACAAGCAGAACAAGCCACGGCTGACTTCCACCCTCAACTCATTAAAGTAGATCAGTAAAGCTGCCACGCCTTGTACACAATAGTCTTGGGAGACAAGGAGGCAACATACAAAGCATCGTAGGAGAGCGTATCTTCGACGCGTTTGCGCGCAATGTACCTGGAAGGGCCACTCTCTTCCTGATGGAAACTCTTCCAAAATTGGGGGTCCCTATTGGGGTCCCTGTCGTAGGAAGTCCAAGAATCTGGGTTATGAAAGGGGACTCCCTTCTTCCAAACAACTGCGGCAGGAGCGCAGTCGAACCATGTAGAGGGGCACTATGAATGCCACGTGCGTCAGGGTTGAATTGAATGTTCTTGGATTGAAAGTTTAGGGTTTAGGGTTTAGGGTTTAGGGTGTTTAGCCCTCAACCCACTCAGGTGTGACGCATGGGAATGCTTTGGCCGGACACGCGGTTGTATTCCAAAGCCCCGCCTGCCAACCCTGAGTTTCTGCTTAAGAGTGCAAGGCTTGAGCACACAGACCGAATGTTAGCAGGGAACTTCAGGCGGTGAACAATACAAGTTGCTGAGTTCCCACCCAAATCAAGGTTAACCTTTTCAACTTCAATACCGTGTCTAGACCCTTGCAGCAGATTCAGCTACTCAGACAATAGACGGCGGTCCTAGAACAGCTCAGCGCTGTCATTTTACTTACCGTTGGCCCTGGCCATCCCTCCAGGAAGAACTTCCTGGAGTTGAAGGTTAGAAGTATGGGCGCATAATATGGATGGACCTTTAGGCCTTTTAAGAGGATTAGAGGAGCCCTTAGGGGTACATATAGGATATAACCTTAGATGGAGGCATAGTCAGAAACTCTGCCTATCTTGCTGGTTGCCAGTCGGGGAATCAAGGAAAGAAAAGAAAAAGGAAACTAATTCCTCATTTTCCGGGATTATACGCGGCTAACTGCAGGTATCATATTACGAAACACTAGAGCTGTCCGCAACGGTAATTAGCACAAACTAATTACAAAAGATTGCCTCTTCATAATTAACATGGGTTCCCCTACCTGTGCGCGCATTGCGGCCCGAATACAGAGTGATTAGTGCTATTTAGTGAAATGTAAATATCTACCGAAGGAGTTTCGCTCAAGTCGGGGTTGTCTCGAAAAAAACACACAGACTCCCGAGTATGAACCCCAAAAATTCTTTTCCTAAGACGCTTGTAGTTCCCATGATATGGGCGCCAAAATGTCCATGGCTAGGGTCCCTGAAGGGTTTAGGATTTAGTGTTTAGGAAAACCCACATGCCTGGAAAGCCTTAGTACGACCAGGCACAGAAGATTCTCCATCTCAGCATCTCGTGCTGTTGGGTGAGATACGAAGATCTGCTCCTGCTATGCTTCTGTAGGTTACGAAAGTTGGTGCCCTAACATGGAACCCCCTACTTACACACCATTCACAGGAAATGTAGTGTTGATGGAGTTCTCAAAGGCTGCCCTTACGGACTTTGACCTTGTGCACCAGAGGCTCCTCAAAAAAGGACCTGGCAGCTAGAAAGGAAAATGCCACCAAGACCGCCAAGACCTTCCGAAAGATCCATTATACTCTTATGGGTGTCCATATTAGGATCACAAGGGTGCATATTGTTGGGGTTCATGCTTAGGAGTCTGTACAGCTCCATAGAAGAAAGACATCCATTTTTTGTTTCAAACCCGTCTCCCGACCGAGAGCGGCAGAAGTCCCTGTTGCAACACACTAACAGCTGCAAAGCTCGTTGACAAGGGGCTGTGTCACTAGCCCGTCTCTCACCCGGATGAAAGCCATAAAGATCTATTGAAATTGACCTTGATTCCAAAATGCCACACCAGCTCCACACAAGCTCTATAACGTTCTTGTTATCCTAAACAATCCCTCTGCACCCTGGTATTTGCTGGCATTTGCAGTCCATCGCTCACCATGAACGTGGGGCCACGTGTTACGCGTCGAGGCTGGTGTCTGGAACACTTCCCAATTATGACTGCTGCTGAAGAAAGGTTCCTTGATTCTCAGCATCGCACAGGACGGCCCGTCATTTTCGGAGACCTGCAACCCTGGGCCCATAGTCAGCTCCCCTCTGAACCCTCTAACCCCTTTAGAACCAATCAATGAAAACCAACAAGCATACAGAACACCTTAACCTCAAAGATAAGCCAGCATGCTGGCAGACCCTAGGAGAAAAATCCAGAAAGCCCTGTGTGCCTGGAGTAGGGCTGTACGAACCCAGAAACATAATCCAAAGTTGCTGCTGTCGAAGACCCTACACATTTTATTCTGGAAGGATCCCTAGACCCCAAAAGGTGCATGTTCTACCTAACCCCATTATTCCCGTATACCCCCTATGTAATCGTGTTGCCCGTCCATCCAAGGTTCCGTCTGGGCGGAGCGTTCTCCTTGGCTTCTCTGGGGTGAGGTGGGAGTTCCCTTGGGTCTCTGTAAAGGGCCAGTAGAAAGTTCCTTCTCGACCTCCAAAAACTCTTTATCTCAAATTTGCCCGGAACCAACCGCAAATAAGAAACCTACCAACTGCCCAAACCAGCACGGACACTTTTTCAGCTCTGGACGCTGGAGGCGTTCGGATCAGATGCAGCTTGCGCGTGGTTGTCGAAGTCTTGTGTAATGCAAGGGCGTGCGCTTTGGATGTGTGGACTGCACTTCTGCTGCTGAGTATTCACAGGCAGCCCTACTCTGGATTGTGGGCTTTTTCAGTGCAGAAATCAACAAACTCCACGGCCCGAAACCTTTAAACATATCCCTGGAGACCTCACTGGATTGAGACAATTTCTCAGGATTGTTCGACATAACCGTTCTTCGACAACCACCATTACAAGTCAGAAACGCTCAAGGGATCTTCCAACCTGAGGCACACTGCTGGAAAGGGACTCGACTGCCAGGGCTACAGCAGGTTTAGTACTTGAGAGACAGCTCGTAATATTAACGCAGATGCTGCGCAGCTAGTCTCCATCAAGTGCCGCCATACACCTCAACCTGCTAGGAGCCTAAAGCAGTGGAGCTCGTGCAGCCACTAGTCAAAGGTTGTCAAAGGAATCGCTTCACAGGTGGAAGCACCTTCTGCGTCATTGATTTGCGAACTGCCACAATCCAACTTTTTGGACGCTCGCAAATTAAACGGCCACCGGGGCAGCAGCCTGCGCACAAGCCTTTGTGTGCGTGAAACTCATGGAACTCACTGATCCTGCTCATTCCTAGGCTCTGGGCTTAGGGTTAAGGGCTGTGTAGGGACTGATTTCATGGTAGCACCAAGGAATACTCGCACTGAAATTAAGACAACCGCCAACAATGAGAATACGCGTGGGATTTTCACGTCTCAGACGGGCTGGGCAAGAACTATGACGAAGGAGATCTGCCATCTTCAACACTCTGAGCAAACTGCAAAAGAGTTCTTCGAACACCCCCTAAACCCTAAACCTTTATATAATCTTTATATGAGCTACTGTCTAAACCACTAGTATCCCCCTTAGTAACCCCTATAGTAGTCCCCTATATAATCCCCTATATAACCCCCCTTTAAGGAGTTTAGACTATAGCTCATATAACTCCTATAAACCCTAAAAGCTGCCACGGTGCAGGGTGAGGTCGATAAGCAAGGTTGAAGCCATGATGAGCTTGCGCACGTTCTCAGCGTCCTCAGTTGACTTACTGGTGGTTAGTAGAGAATAATGGCTCAGGGTTTAGGGTCTAGGGTTTAGGGTTTAGGGTTTAGCCGGGAATAAGGGCTTAAGGTCTTTTCAACCCATACATATATATATATATATGCACATATACATATACATATACATATGCACATATGTGTGTGTATGTGTGTGTTCCCTTATTCCCTACACCCCCCCAGTAAGTTGAAAGTAACGGTTTAGGCTTTCTCGTGTGCTGGGTTTCAGGGTTTAGGATTGCGGGCATCCGCGGGATTTCTACGTGTCAGGAAGGGAGGTCGAAACGAGGGGATACGTTATTCTGAAAGTGAAGGGTATTTAAGGAAATTCCGAAGCAACTCATTGGGGAATAGTTCCCAACATGAGTACAGCAGGGCCATGCTCGGGTCAAGGGTAGAAAGGAGATTTCTGGGTAGAAAAGAGAATTCTGGTTGCAACCCTATACCCTAAACCCTAAAGCCTGGTAACCGCAGCCCCAGAATGAAGACCCCGTAGGAGTCATATGATAACCATTTCTTGTTGGTTCTAAGCAGGGAACAAGGAAATATGATTTATAGGGCTTATATTCCGTTATTCCCTGCCAAGAACCAGTACGATAATTAGGGTCCTCATTTTGGGAGTTGGGGCAAGTCATTTGAGAGCACAGTTAGCTTGGGATCTTCAATTTTTTGGGTGCGACCAGGCAAGCTGTCTAAACTCTCAAGCCTACTAGACTACTAGACCCTGAATGCTGGCTTCTTAGCTCCACATCTACGTGGGTTCATCCCCAACTTCCCAGATCTCAAGCCTGGTTTAGGGTCTAAGGTTTAGGATTTAGGCTGTGCTTGGGGCCAGCATATATGACTTGATGCATGTATGGAATCGGTGTCAAGTGGGATCACGATAGTGTCACAAATCCCAACGAGAACTAAACTGCAACAACAACTTAAACCAAGATTGGGCTTTGCCGACCCCTGCCCCCAAAATTGCCACCATACCATTATCATGGGACAGATATGGTCCTAATTTCGAAAGGTCAGGGTTCCCAACTCCTCTGACTATCGACAGAGTCAATCCCTATGAACCCCTATACAACCCAGTTTCCATGTCATCTTCCGTTTTGCTTTCAATTTGATTCGCTATTTTCTAACCCTGCACTCTCAACAGTACAAATTACTAGAATATCTTTATAGGGACCCAAACAAACTAAACTATGGAAAATCTAACATCCCAGGATCCGGGGCGTTCTCAGGGAACTTCACCTGGTACATCTCGCGATTGGTGCAACACTCCTTGGCTGCTTCTAGCTACCTAGAAACCGTAAACCCTAAAGCTTAAGCCCTAAACCCTAAACCCTTAAAAATACTTAAGGTCTAGGGCTTAGGGTTGCAGAGCTTTCCTACAAATGCAAGTTGCCTGTTGGAGGTCCTATTATACAAAAGGGTCATCATACTTCTGGGCGAAAATTGTGGTTTTCTCAAGGCCTTTAGAATCTAGGGGGTTGTAGAGATTATAAAGAATTGTGGCGGTCCCTACTCAGGAACCTATACAGAAAGTCTTGAGACACATCCAGCGGGTGCTTGTTTGATGGCTAGTCGCAGACGTGTCAGATCTTAAACTCCTACTAAAGCCAGACCCAAACCCTAAACCTTAAATCCCCAACCCGGCACGCAGCAACCACACCCTAAGCACCGAACCCTAAATCCTACGGACTTTGCCAATAAACCTTTGATCCAAGGCTCATGCTTCATACCCGCCCACAAGTCGGTGATAGCGGCATCCCCCACCGGCATGTATGGAGGATTCCTGGATTCTAGGGCCTTTAGGAGGGACCCTTAATAGGGATCCTCGTAGCCTATGGGGGGTTAATATGCGGAGTACCTAGGGATATAGGGGTTATATAATGACTATATAGGGGTCATATATGGTAATGGGATTAAGGGTCCCTTTTAGGGGTCCCTCCTAAAGTCCCTAGATGGATAGGGTTCAGGGTAGACCTTAGGTTTGGCGGTTTGGGGTCTTGCTGAGGGTGAAGCATGAGGGACTGGGGAGAAATCCGAAGGATGGAAGCCTAAGTGCGGGCGTTTGGATTGGGAAGTGGGTTTAGGGGCAGGGTGGTGGCCCTTTGTGGAGGGAGCTTTTGGAAAGGGATTACATGAGGCATCAAACGCTGGAGATCATCTACAGAGCTCCACTCGTGAGCGGTCCGCATGAGGCGTGTTCCAGGAGTATCCCTTTGAGCATTTGAAGCAGAAAGAATTTCTCCTTCGGGGGTCTCTTCTGTCCATCTTTTATCTTTCTCAAGGAACCTTCACATTTCGGCCACACCCTCTGGTGCCTACTTTTGGGAAACTACCATTTTCATAATCCAGCTTGGTTACAACGACGACAATGAAACCTGACAGTGCTGCTTAGATTCGGCTGACGAATGGGGAAAGGAATGCGGAAACACTTGCCTTTGCCACCGCCACCGCATCGGCACTGGACACAGAGCCCACCCACGCAAGTTTCGGGGCGAACGCGGTAGATGTGTTGTCCATTCCTAGGTTGCTGCTAAGGACCGTAGATTCAGCTAGTACAATAAGGAAACGTACTATATACCCATATGATTCTACCTTAGACCCAGAGGCCTAAACCCTAAGCCCTATGTTCTCATATATACATATACATATATATATATATGTATCTCCCTCTCTTCCTTAAGAGCAACCCAGATTCTTGTCAAAGATGTCGTACTTGGGTACGAAGAGGCAAGCGTCGCATATGTACTTCACAGCCTTGCTTTTGCGAGCTTCTCGAAATGGGCTATAATCTAAACTCCTTAAAGGGGGTTATATAGCGGATTATATAGGGTGTAAGGTCTAAACTCCCAGGGTTGTAGAGGGAATTAGGCTTTGGGGTTGAGGTTTCATAGGGGATTATCAAGGGGAGTAATGTAAGGGTTATTAATTGGGATACTAGGAGTTTGGCTCCGGGTGCGCCAAGTGCCCGGGCCGGCACCGTTCGTGTTCCAAGAGCATACGCTGACCAGAGCATCCGTGCCAAAATCATAATTCCGTTCGTGTTCCACGAGCATCCGCTGACCAGAGCATCCATGCCCAAATCATAATTCCGTTCGTGTTCCAAGAGCATACGGTGACCAGAGCATCCATGCCCAAATCATAATTCCGTTCGTGTTCCAAGAGCATACGGTGCCCAGAG